GATCAACAATCTTGAATATAAGGTATAAATCTGCTGTCATCTGAAACATACAAAATATAACAAGTGGAATATTTTCTGCCCTTTCAATAAATTCAAAGGATATTCTCAGGTTACATTTTAAAGAGATACTTGAAAAAGACATACCAGTACCCCCAAGGATTATCACTGTTATTGGAAGTGTGTGAATTTAAGTTAAAATATGAAAGTGAAAGGAAATGGAAGAAGAGCATAGTAGTGGTGGGGTAGCGCGTCAAGTTAATCAGAATCCCATAGTAAACCATATCATTGAATTGTTTGATCCCACAATTCGTTTACCCCAGAAAGCTTTACTTTGTCTTGTTGAAAATTAGGTTACATATCATGAAGCAAAAAAGAAAGCTTAACACATTGTAAAAGGAAGTAAGAGAGATTTGTAGAGTACACTTGTATTACTAGTTTTCTTGATCCATAACTATGCTAGAAAGCAGACAATGGAAACAAACTTCCTAAATACCGTTGTTTTTTTTTTTTTTTGGCTTAGTTTAAATTAGAGAGGAAATAAAATATGTGATTATATATCATTAAAAAATTAATAGCAAAATATATCTGAGGCAAAGCAGTAGGAGCTAAGTAAAAAAGTTTGTCATTTATGTCTGAATTTTCCCATTCTTCAAAAAGCATTTAGATCCATAAAAGCAATTTAAAGAAATCACCTATACCTCATTGTTGGTTCATAACTAGCAGACCTGTGAACCATTTGAGAGCCAGTAGCTTAAAGCACTACGAAGTTCTTACAGGATGGGAACATGTGCCGGCAGCAATAGGTGTGATCATGAAGACAACGTCTGTTCATGGGGCAGACAATTTTAAGGGGAAAGTTGTCTCTAAATAAAAGTGTAATCAAACGTAGGTATGAAGCACCCCTTACTGAAATAAGGTAGCAATGCTGACTTGGAAGATTGGTTTCTGTCCCTCTTTAAGCTCTCTAAACAAAGTACTTTCAAAGTTAGTGATTATTCTGGGTCTGTCCCATTGTTGTACATTTGGATCTGTTTCATTGCTTAGACAGGTGACTTGTCATCTGAACTAACAGTGTGCAGCTTGAGAGTGACTATACTTGAGGAGCTTTATTTAAGGAATTAAACTACAAGATCCTCATCCGTACTTGGATCTGATGTAGATGCCTTTGCTATAAGGTGATGAGGTTTTAAGGGGATTTCAGAGAGGGGAGGAGAGGGTATACTTTCTGAATGTTGCAGGAATATCAATAATTGAGTAATTTAAAATTTATATGAAGTAATTATGTTGGTATAGATATATTTTTACATTCTTTGATATTCTTTCTTTCAAGAAGCAGGATTTAATTTCCCCAAACTTGAATGTAGGAAGGACTTAATAGCTTATTTAAAATACCTAGAATATAGTAAAAGTAAGCAATTTTGAAGCGGAAGATTAAGGTGTAGCTCTAAGAAGATGCGTATAATAAGAGAATAGCATATAAATACCAGATATTCTGATATTCTTGTAATTCCAGACGTGAGACCCATAGAACTTGTTCAAAAACCTGTAGAAGATGTCATATGACATAGATTATGCCGAAGAAAGAAAAATTGTTTCTAACTGTGTGATGTAGACATGCTTAAAATTAGGAATAGAAAAAAAAGAGAACACGAAGTACTGTAGATTGAAGAAAGATGGTAATAGGTGATCAAGCAAAGAATGAAAATAGCCCAAGAAAGGAAATTAGGGGAGGGGTTAGAAACCTTCCCTTCCATAAAAGTAGAACATTCTGTATTGCAAAGGGAAGCTGAGACCGTACATGTCAATCATATTAGCTAACAAAAGTAAATTTAAATCACCTCTAACAAGATATTTTCAAATACTCAGTAAACGAACAAAATGATTAATCTCTCTGATGTCCAGACAGATTGATAATAGATTGTGTATTCCATGCACACTTTCATGATTGTACTGAGTGAAAATCTCAGTAGAGAAATAGGATCTTCAAAATAGGTCAGTAGAGCACACACCTGTAATCCCAGCACTGAAGAGGTTGATGTAGGGGGATTGCCAGAATGTGAGGCCAACCTGGGCTACAGAGTGAGTTCAAGGCCAACCCGAATTGCATAGTGAGACCCAGTTGCAAAACCAACAAACCTCAACACGCCTCTTCCCTAAGAAAACCAAAACCAAACTAAAATAATAAAAATAGATGAGTAGAAATTACACAGCTTGAATAGTAGAGATGAAAAAAATAGAAAATATTTGATCCCCAGGCCAGCTGTGCTGGCCCTGCCCCAGGGGTGAGCTGAGATGGCAGGGTGGGAGGCTGTAAACAGGCAGAGCACTACGAGTCAGATCTAGTAGTGAGACCCTGAACTCCCTGTAGACCCTTCCCTAAAATACAAACCCCCCCCAAGCCTCATGAATGTATTAGAAAATATCAGAAGATTTAAGAAGATGAGTGAGAAAATATTACTTGAGAAAGTAATTTTTAAAAAATTACTGAATTTTTACAAAACATAAGTTTACATATTTCTTGGTATTAGGAGGAGGTCATTTGCGACATACTCATGTCACCAGAATAGACCCTCATAAACAAGTTGAACATCGTTGTTAGAAAAAGGCTGTGGGTTTTGTTTGTCTCCTTCTATCTGTGTAATCTGGCTGTAGGGCTTTATGTGCTATCACTGTATGTATGAGAATATCCTCCCTGTATTAAATAATATAATTTTATTAAAAAAAAGTTTATATATTTCTGGTCCCCAGTTTATATATTTCTGGTCACTTGGTGCTCTACTGACACCAAGTAACATCAGTAAGAAGAAAACTATCCCTAGGTATATCATAGTGACATAGCAATATAGGAAAATTAAAAATAGCCTAAAAATAACTAGATAAAATAAAGCACATTATATGTGTGCAATTACCAGTTGCAAGTATGGCGGTCTTGCCTGGAGCATGTAGAAGAATTCGGAGCACTCAGAAGAATCTTCCACTTTGTTACTTCTGGTACTTTCAGTTTGTACACTCCTTCCTATAGAACGAACCTCACATCTGCATGCATACATGTATTAGATCCCAGGTATCTGTCCACATCTTTTCATCCTGGCTGAACGTTCACTCCATGTACCCACCCTTTTCTTAAAGTAAGAGGTTTTATTTTCCTGCCACTGAACACACAGTTTTCTCCATGGCTGTGTTGGTTTTGAAGTTCCTGTTACTATATATCAGTCAGTTTTTGGATCATATTTTACTGAGCTGTATTCAGGATTCAGAATCCAAATATTTGTCAATTTTCTATTACATACCAGGTCCATGTGTTTGTCAGTAAACAAAACTTCGTTTTTGTTTTGCTTTGTTTTAGTTTTTTGAGATAGGATCAAAAACCAAATTCATGTCTTTGTCACATTGTGTTTTTAACAAAGATAGACTCTCAAATTAGGGTAGATGCCGATAACAGGACGTGGTGTTTGAAGGCAGCTGTACACAAAGTACCATAGGCACATCCGTCTCCTGTAAGGAACTCTATGAAATTACAAAAGAGCTTGGTCAATTCCTACAATAGTATGTAAGCTATGTTTTGTCTTGATGAAGGAAAAGACCCTATGAAGGCTGAAAACGAGATGAAGCCCCAAATATAAAGGGGATTGTGCCTTCCCATTCACAGCATGCATGTTCCTTGGTGGCCTTGGGACAAAGAAATTCCAACAAGTCCTGAGCCTCATGTTGAGGACTCAGCATTGGGTCATCTTGTTACAAATTTGTCGCTATTTTATTGTTAAAAAGATATGACAAGCCCTACCCAGAGACCTGTATGCTGTATTTCAAATTCAAGCTTGTGTTTACATGTATTTTCATAATAACGGGTGGTTGTGGGTTTCTACTTTTGATGTTGTTTTCTTTTGGTTTTATTTTTTGGGACAAGGTCTACTTACATAGTTCAGCCTAGCCTTGAGCTTTCTATGTAGCCCAGGCTGTCCTTAAGCTCGCAGCAATTGTTCTGCTTCCTCCAGCTTTCTGAGTGCTAGAATTACGGCTGTGCGCTACACCTGGATTATTTGATTTTTTTTTAGATGGCTAATAATTTGTGTAAAGGAAAAGTATAGACCTTGATAAATATATTTACATACAGAAATTTTGTTTTTTCTTATCAAGGTGCAGTGTGTAAGATGACTTGGGGTATAATTGAAGTTTGCTATTGAGTGTTTTTCAGAATAACACAGTAAGAACAGAGAACTCTTTAACAAACCCAGCTGGGGGAAAATAATCACAAAGATATATTTTTCATTGAAAGTTTTTTTTTTTTGTATTAGCAAATACAACTTTTAACAAATAAGCAAATTAATAAAGTATTCATTTTAAAGACTACATTTTCCCCCTCATAATTAATAGTATTTTAATATTTACCTGTACCCAATTTGGAAAAAAAATGGTATGTGAAGTATTTCTTTGCAGTTACAGTTTTTTTTACTAGATTTTTAGAAATAATTTTTAAACTTGCCAATTTGTAGTAAGATTCTAGTTAAATTGTAATACATTTAGTGAATTAGAAATGACTTATTTACACAGATTTGCATTTGCGTTAGATTTCTTTTTTTGTCTTAGATTTCTCTGTGTGTGTGTGTGTGTGTGTGTTGGGACATTCAGCATTTTAAATTGATGGACTCTATAAATCCATTTTATTTCCATATCTCAGAAACACAGTAAACTCTGTTGATATTATTCACTCTTAAGAGTATGTATTTAAAATGAAGGAAAATGAAACTTTATAGAGAAAAAGTTTTCGAAATGATAGTTTTTCTGCAGTAACGTTTTCTAGTCATTTCTGTCCTGCTTATATAAAAGATTAGCTTATTTATTTATTTATTTATTTATTTATTTATTGGCTTTAAGAGGTACATAGTTCCTAGCTTAACTAGCCTAAGAAATGTCTTATTTTTAAATCCATATGGTTTAACTTACTTATGATTTAAGAATTCATACAATTTTGTTTTCTCTTTTTTTCCCTCCAATTTTAGGATTCTCGTCGTAGTGTTGCAGGAGAAAATTGCTGCCTTTGATAGTTGTACTTTTGCAAGAAAATTCTTTGTTACAAGTATGTATCAAATCATTGCATACTCATCTATGATTTTGAGTTTATATTACTTGATATAATCATGACTTTCATTTGAATTATGGTGATCTTTGTATGATTTTTGTGAATATTTTCCTATTTTTTAAAGAGAATAAAAATAGTAAAAAATAATTAGAAATGATACAGAATTTCACTAAACAAAATGATAGGGATTGTTGTATTACATATTGTTGTCTTCAAATTAATTGTTCAGATTATCAGATATAAGCATGCAAAATTGGTCAAGAAAATTAAAAAGAAAAAAAAATTAAGTATTAACTGTTCCTTTCAGTAGACCAGTAGAAATCAACAGTATAACTATTTTGGGATGTTCTTATTCAGTAATTATGTAATGTGTAATTTCACCTTGCCAACATATTCTTACCATACTTATTCTACATATTCTCAGTTTCTTCTTACATGCTCTCCTTGCATAATTGTGATTAATTTTATATATCTTTTATTTCTTGAAAGCACATGTTAAACTACTTGTTTCTCTCACATACTTGAGGAAGTAACTATAGATTATCCTACTTGAGGGTTCTGAAACTCAAATACTTCCCATCTTTTTCGTCCTTTATCTTTGTTCTGCTGTAATAAAATGTACCACTGCCCCAAAATTCAAAACAAGCTTAAGGTCTAGTCCTAAATTATGTGCTCAAGCACATAATATTTGATATGGTATGAAGTTATACGTATGAAGTTTTATGCAGAGCGGAAGGAGAAGTGGGGAAGTGGGAGGGAGAGTGAGAGAGAACCCAGTTGACTTTTTAGATATGTATTTGCTTATGGGATTGTTGGCCTTTGCAAGTAGTATGTCATATCAGGCAGGTTAGCAGGCTGAAGATTTCAGCAGAAGCAGTTATACTCTGTAGTCCTAAGGCTGTCTCAGGACAGAATTTTGTTTAATCTTTTTTAGCTTTTGCAGTCCATATTTTCCATTCTTTCTCAGATTCTACAGTTAGCCATAGAAGCTTTAGTTGAGTTTTCCCAGAGATTCTGCTATGTACATTCTGAAGAAATAATTTAATCTCTCTCAACTTTGAAATGAGCAGGGACTCTCAATTGTATTTGTTGTAGTTCTTGAAATACCATGTCTATTTACACAAATATTTACAGAGTAGCTTCTACGTGCCAAGGACTGGGTAGTAGCTATGTTTATGTATAAAATTGCTTTCTTTGATACAGTATATGTTTGATATAATTGCATAAACCATATACCACAATTTTTTATAGTATATTATTTAACATTTTGTAGACCATGAAGAAAAATAAGACAAGTGCATGCTTCTATGTTTATAATCTTTTTCCTATCTGAGATATAGTTATTATACATACATATTATAAGTACATATATACATATTATACATACATATGCATATGTATAGAGTGGAGAGGGAGGGAGGGAGGGAGGGAAAGAGGGAGGGATAGGTGGACAGGTAGGCAGGTGGGCAGGCAGTCTAGCTATGTAGTGCAGGCTGGCCTTGAACTCACTTATGTAGCCCAAAGTAGCCTCAAACTCATGGTAAGCCTCTTTCCTCAGCCTCCTGAGTGCTGGGATTGCAGGCATATACCACCATGCTTGGAGCTGTTTTTGTTATATCTCTAAATAAATCATTAGGAAAAGGGGCCATGTGATTGTTCTAGTTATGTGAGTTAGATAGGATCTAGAGAGTGAATCAGAGCAGCATACAGATATTTCAGTCAGACGTGGGTGCCTGAATTTCCTGTGATGCTTTCATATCTTTTTATCAATAGTTTTATATTTATGATTTATCAGAAATACTTGTTTCAAGGCTCCTGCAATGTTTGATGCCTCTGTTGTGACTCCATTTTATTTTTATTTATTTATTTATTTTTATTTTTATTTTTTATTTTCTTTGGCGGAACTGGGGATTGAAATCAGGCCCTTGTGCTTGCCAGGCGAACACCTATTCTACCGAGTCATCTCCCCAGCCCCTTAATTTTATTTATTTATTACCGGAGGTTGAACTCAGGACCTTGTGTTTGCCAGGCAAGCGCTTATATTCTACTGAGCTATCTCCCTGGCCTTTTAATTTTATGCTTATGATCTATATTTCATGATAGTGGATATTACTGTCAAGTCAGTAGCATAGAGGTAGCTTTTTTTTTTTTTTTGAGGAACCAGGGATTGAACTCAGGCCCTTACGCTTTCCAGGGAAGTGCTTATCCCACTGAGCCATCTCCCTAGCCCTACTAGCTTTTGTTTTTTAAAAAATTTTAAAAACATAGATATTGCCTGGTGTTGTGCACGTCTGTTATCCCAGCACGTAGGGGACTGAGGCAGGAACATTGCTGAGAGTTCAAGGCCAATCTGGGCTATATATGAGTTGAAGGGCAATCTGAACTGCATGAGACCCTGCCCCACTCCCCCAAATATTATGCTGCCTCACGTGAGTGGTAAATTGAATAGAAAATCCAAAATAATTATCTGTTAAGCTAGTTTATTTGGTTAAGAACATTTTGAGGGGCTGGGGAGATGGCTCAGTGGAATAAGTGCTTCCCTGGCAAGCGCAAGGGCCTGAGTTCAATCCCTGGTTCCGCCAAAAAAAAAAAAAAAAAAAAAAGAACATTTTGAAATTTTAGCTCTGGGCTGGGGCCATGTTTTAGTGACACAGCCCCTGCCTGGAAAGCACAAGGTTCTGAGTTTGATTTCCATTACCCCCCCCAAAAGAGAGAAATAAAGAAATTTTAGCTCTGTTTAAATGTTATGTTTTGCTGGAATGCATGTTTCTTTGTAATCGGTGGTAAACAAAGTCAGTTGTAGAAGGGATAAACAAGGAGGTAGTAAGTTAGTGATGGCACCATTTTTATCTTTCAGGGCATATTTGTAGTTTTTTTAATAGATATAAAATATGTATTTCCAAAAGTTCTTTTAATGTACAGTTTCAAAATTTAAAAGGCAAAATGATCTTTGTTAGGAATACAAATTTGAAAATTTGATTTTTATATTAGTCTTAAGTTCAACTTGAAGGACACAGAGGTCTCTATTAGTTTTGGTGATTGGGACTAAAAGATCCTTTTCATCATACTCCTTTTATTGAAGAAAATAGATGCAGTTTGATTGGCTTAACACATTTTAGATGAAATGATATACTCATAGCTGATAACTTGTGCACTAGTTATTAGTAATAGTATCATTTGTACTAATAATAGTATTATTCATATTTTTATCTTAATTCATCTTTTTTGTCTTTTTCTTACTGCCTTTTTGGGACATCTTTGCTTTACTTGCTAAATAGTTTGAAGAAGTATAAGTCTCTTAATTCTGTGAGCTCTTCATGATAGGAAGAAAAGATCTAGAAGGATCAGCAGTGTTTGTGGTAGTGTACTGAAGTATTTTACAAGTGAATGTAGCTCATAACGAAATCCTACTCATGTGGTCTCTAATAATGAATTTTGTGTTTCCTGATCCTCGAGGAGCCCATTCTCTTTGGGTGCTGTTTGTACAATAGCTCTCATGGACTGCGATGCCTTGTGATCTCTTATTTAATGTGGGTTGCATAAAAACAACTGTATATTACTTAAGAATATATTACAAGACACACTTTATATAAAAAGGAGTTCAAAAAACAGGAACAACAATAACGTGTGATTTCATTTCCTACTCTTAATAGTATTTATTGTGACATTTCACTTCAGTCCTAACTAGTTTGCATTTCAGTTTCTTTAAGAAGTATGTCATTCTTTTTTTTTTTTTTAAAACGTATTTAGTACAGGGTCTGTAGTGTCTCAGTACACAGATTGGACTGGTAGTGATCCTTCTGTTTTCAGCTTCCCTAAAGCTGGGATTACAGTTGCACGCCACTGTGCCCAGTCTCAATTACTGTCTCTGTGCCCCAGGGGCTGGTACAGCATGCCGGGGATCAAACCTGGTCCCTGAATCTGCCTAAGCAGGCGCTTTAATCCGCTGAACTATCTGGTTGGCCCCTGTCATTCTTATTTTAAAATAATTCCACAGAACCTGAAAATCTTCAGGGTCAGGTATATGAATATACTTTTAGGTTGATTTTCTTTCTTTCTTTTCTTTTTTTAAAAATGTATTTGTGCAGGGTAATGTATTTGTTACATAATGCATTCGCTCGGACTCATAGTGATTCTCCTGTTTTCAGCCTCCCCAGAGCTGGGATAACAGGTGTGCACCACCACATCGGGTGTAGGTTGGCTGGCTCAGTGTGCCTGGGGGCAGGGCTAGCACTGGACCAGCATGTAGCGCCAGAGATTGAACCCCAGCCTCTGTGCTTGCCTAAGCTGGCACTTAGTCTGCTGAGCTATCTCACCAGCCCTCACTTTTAAATTGCTATGAGTGATAATATCTTACCTGCCCCCCCATTCCTTTAGCCAGCCTGAAACTTCATATATTTTTTACGTATTTCTCTTTGTTTAGCTTTCAGTTATCACATAAGTGTAAGCTGGTTCTGCCTGTTAGTCACGTGTAGGGATTTGGGGCAGATAGCTGGTGGGATTGAGTATATTGACACAAATTTTGTGGTAGTGCATCTGCCTCTGCTCCGTATCTTTTCTCCTAGTGACTGGTACTAAGTTCACATCCCATGTAGAGTGAAAAGATCTTTCGTTAATGAGGATGTTGTTTTGATCGTGCAAGCATTTAACTTCTAAAATAGTCTGAAAAGCACTGAGTTGAATGCCTTAGTTGTGTAAGAATACAATGAAGGCACTGTAAAATAAGTAGAGACAGCTGTGTCCATCAGAGCAAGCATCATGGGAATGTGTGCCAAGGGTGGATGGAACAGGTAAAGAGAGCTGATAGGGAACTGCTAACAGAACGCATCCAGTGTGATGAGAAAGGAGACACCTTTGTATTTGGTTGTACAGAAAAGTTGGCTTTGAGCAGCTGTCTGATGCGGAAATCCAAAACCCAGATATGATTAAGGAAACAAAAGACGAGGACTGATAGATGTCATTAGTAGTCATTTTAAGTGTCTTTAAATTGAAAAGTA